AGTGGCACATTATGATTTGGAATTACATCAGATGGATGTAAAAACGGCATTTCTAAATGGAGATTTGGAGGAAAAAGTATACATGGCGCAACCGAAAGGTTTTGTCATGAAAGGAAACGAAAATATGGGATGTCGTCTAAAGAGATCCATTTATGGATTAAAGCAAGCTTCGAGACAGTGGTACTTGAAGTTTGATGGGACAATAAAGAAATTTGGGTTTCAAGAGAATGTCGAGGACAACTGTATTTATTCAAAGTTTAAGAATGGGAGATTTATTTTCCTAATTCTGTATGTGGATGACATTCTACTGGCTAGTAGTGATGTCAGTCTACTGCAGGAAACAAAGAAATTCTTGTCCTCAAACTTTGACATGAAAGACCTCGGTGAGGCTTCATATGTTTTGGGCATAGAGATTCACCGAGATAGAACAAGTATGCATTGGGACTTTCTCAAAAGACATATATAGAAAAGGTGTTGAAGAAATTCAACATGTACAGATGCAGTGCTACACCTGCTCCTATAATGAAAGGCGAAAAGTATGGGGCATCGCAATGTCCCAGAAATCAGTATGAGCTCAATGAAATGAAAACAAAGCCATATGCGTCAGCTGTAGGAAGCCTACAGTGCGCGCAAGTGTGCACACGACCTGACTTGGCATTTGTTACCGGGTTACTTGGCAGATTTCAGAGTAATCCAGGCCTAGAGCACTGGAAATTGGTAAAGAAAGTCTTGCGTTATTTGCAAGGAACAAAAGGCCTCATGCTGTCTTACAGAAGATCAGAATCACTCCAGATAGTGGGGTACTCAGATTCTGACTTTGCAAAAGATAATACAAAGTCAACATCGGGATACGTGTTTACCCTGGCAGGAGGAGCTATTTCATGGAAAAGCTCAAAACAGACTATCACTGCAGGGTCTACTATGTATGCCGAGTTTATAGCATGCTATGAGGCAACGGGGCAGGTGAACTGGCTAAAGAAGTTCATACCCGGTTTAAAGGTGGTTGACAGTATTGAGAAACCACTAAAGTTATACTGCGACAACGAACCCGCAGTAATGTACGCTCACAACAATCAGTCAAGTGGTGTTGCCAAACACATTGACATAAAGTACTATGTTGTGAAGGACAAAGTCCGGGATCAAACAATCAGTCTCGAGCACATTAAAACAGAAAGGATGCTCGCGGATCCGCTCACGAAAGGCCTACCACCCAACGTGTTCAAGGAACATGTAGCCGGCATGGGTTTAAGGGAAGCCTTATGAATCCTGGACTACAGGGCCCAAAAGTAAAGTATCTGTTTCTGAATAGAAATGTGTATAGTGGCTGTCGAATCCATCGGTGATTGACCGTGACGATGAAACATGCTCTATTTACAAATCTGTGATGGAATAGAAAAAGCTAAAAGAAAAAGTGAGATCAAGGGGGAGAATGTTAGATAGATCTCTCTCCCCTTGAGCCCAACGGCTCAAGGGGGCCTTGACCGCGCCCTGATCGGGGGCGCCCAGCCCAATGGCTGGTGGGCCCCCGTCACACTGCGCCATATAAAAGAGGGGTGGAGGCCGGCACGACACAGTGTACGAGATTCACCGCCGCCGCCAACTCCACCCTACAAACCCTAATCCGATCGAGAGGGGGCGCAGCCAGTGACGGGAAGCGCCACCGCCGCGCCAGACCTCATCGCCGGGACATCTACGACCGTCACTCCCACAGCCGTCATCGCCGTCGACCTCACCGGCGCCGCATCCACGACAACCGAGCGCCAACGACGACGATGGCCGGCACTTCTTCATCCTCCAACACCTCAACCGGTCGGTCTATCTAAACCCTCTCCCGTTTTCAATCTCTATAGTTCAAACATCAATCCCAAATAGAACCACCCGACTAGATCTAACCTAGGTGATCCTAGTGCAAAGTTTAACACTTTCTTTTCAAAAGGGGGAGAGTTTTCTTTTTCACTTTTGTGATTTTTGAGCTGTTTGTGTTTTTTTACCCCCTTTTTTTGTTTTTCAAAAACACCAAATTGCATTTTGAAGATTTTGCCTATGTGTTCATCAAGGGGAGATTGTGAAATCATGTGATGAACAATTGTCAAAGGTAAGTGTTTGAGAAAATACGGAGAATAGTTTTTTTCGGTTGTCGGCTCTATGAGGCCGGTCAGACCGGGCGGGTGCCATCGGTCAAACCAATGGTGTTGGTGCGGTCTGTTCGGGTTGCCCGACAGTTAGACCGACAGACTCCAGGTAGGAGTCGGTTTCTAGATTGTTTAATGCATATGATTTCCAGATGATTTATATTCGTACGTGATACTATTGTGTGCTAATGTCAGTTAAATTGGTGAGAACTTGTACTCGGATATGGACTTTCTTTGTTGTTCATGTGCAGGAGTTGCTTGAGGCCATGGGAGTATAGCCAATGATGGATCGGGACTAGGTTTGGTAGAAGTTGAGGTCCAAACGGTCAAGGATATCATGGGGGATGCTCAGACTAGAGAAAAATGCATGTAGAGGTGAAGGTTTCCATGCTAACAAACTTGTGAAGGCTGATGCCGTCGATGAACATTGCATCTGTCGGTCTCATTCCAGTGAGCATTTCAAGCAGTAACACTCCAAAACTGTACACATCACATCCGGTCGAGATTTTGTATCCCATTCCATACTCTGTGAAAGAAACAGTTAAATTTTAATGCAAGAGAAACTAATAAGAATAAAATAGGAATCAAGACTCACCAGGTGCGATATATCCGATTGTTCCTCCGACACCAACCAAGCATTCAGAGCTACAAGAACTTGCATTGAGAAACTTTGCTGAGCCAAAATCACCAATTGCGGTCATATCATAGTCCAATAGAACATTGCTTGGCTTCAAATCACAGTGAGTTAGAGGAGATGTCAACTGGTTATGCATATAGTCACGTCTGCAGCTATCCTTATCATCTGTCCTAAGCTCAGACCTCTCTTGGGACTATTTTGATGTAGCTTTGGATGAACCCACATGTCCAAGCTTCCATTGGCCATGAACTCCAAAACTATAGCTTTGAATTCATTGTTCTCTAGGTCGACCGTGGAGCATACGGTGATTGCTTTAACAAGGTTGCGATGGCGGGTGTTTCTTAGCACCTCACACTCAGTAAGAAAGCTATTGTACGCGCCAAGTTCATCAAGATGGAACAGCTTGATGGCAATGAGGTCTATTTCAAACTGAACCTTCCAATGTATATCGAACCAGTATGACTCGAGCTTATCTTGTTGACAGGGGAGAACCAATTGGTGGCCTTAAGGATGTCAACATATGATACTTTCTTCATTGTCTCTTTGTAGCATGAAGTCGTATGCGCTTGCTTTCCCTTCAGAAGTGTCACCATAAAAAAGAAGAATGACAATACGACGATAGTAACAGGAGGAATCACTATTATTAGTAAGTGTGCATTATTCTTTCTTTTGGCAAGTGTTGTAGTTGGGCAAATTGGGAATCCAAATATAGAGTAAGATGAACTTGAGCATAGTCTTGTGTTGCCATCTAAGATCACTGCACTGCTACTCTGAAAGATGCCACCAGTTGGAATAGGTCCTTCAAAGTAGTTGTTCGACAGATCAAGTTGGTTCAAAAAAGAGAAGTTCACAAGAAACTCAGGAATTTGCCCGACAAACATATTTTGAGAAAGATCAAGCAGAACAATGGACTTTAGTTGACCTAACAACTGAGGTATGCTTCCATTAAGCATGTTATGTTTCAAGTCAAGAGACAGTAGAGAAACACATTGACCAAGTGAAGATGGAATTTCACCAGAGAATTTGTTGAAAGAAATATATCCTGTAAGTAAGTTGTTTGACAAGTCGAGGGACACATAAAGTGATGTGCCATTGAGAATTTGAATTGGTATTTGATCCATCTAAGCTGTTTGAAGACAAGTTAAGCTGAACAAGTTTGCAGTTTCCTAAACTTGCTGGTATCTTTCCACTTAACGTATTATTGTCAAGATAAAGTACGCTCAATTGAGAAAGATTTCCTATTGTAGAAGGGATCTGACCGGAAAGCTTGTTCCCACGTAAGCTTAATGAAATTACACCAACAAGATTTCCAATCTCAACTGGTATTGGGTCAATAAGTTGATTCTTACCAAAATGTATTTGTTGTAGACCTACTGAAAGATTACCAACTGCTCTAGGCAGATGCCCTTTCATATTACTAGATGCTTGGGCGCGCCAATGGCGCGCCGCCTGCTCATAGCTTAGTGAAGTTAATTAGATTAATTAGTTATGCTTAGTTAATTCGATTAATTACAGTGGTATTGTTAGCAGGATTTCATTTCACGGAGAAATAGTAGTTGGTGTTTGGATCCAGGGACTTAACTTTTCTGTATTTACACTAATTTAGAGTATTAAATATAAACTACTTACAAAACTAATTATATAAATAAAAGCTAATTTGCGAGACAAATTTTTTAAATCTAATTAATCTATAATTAGATAATGTTTACTGTAGCATCACTTAGGCTAATCATAGATTAATGAGGCTCAATAGATTCGTCTCTCGAATTAGTCCAAGATTATGAATAAGTTTTATTAATAATCTACGTTTAATATTTATAATTAATGCCCAAACATCTGACGTGATAGGGACTTAAAAGTTTTAGTCCCATCTAAACAAGGTCGTAAACTGTTCCAGCTGGACTGATATGAACATAGCTGTGTTCTTAAGTCCATGTTCCCAACTTCACTCTCTCGTTTACCGTTCACACGCTTTTCAAACTGCTAAACCGTACGTGTTTTGCAAAAAAATTCTATAGAAAAGTTGCTTTAAAAAACCATATTAATCCATTTTTAAAGTTTTGTTGAGCTAATAATCAATTAGCTCCGTTTTCCGTGTCAAGTAATCAAAACCACTGCATCGATATTGAAGGTTGTGAATAAGGAATATGCAACACCACAACTGATAGTGGCGGATTGCAGGTAGTAGGTAGCAGTTTATATAGAATAACATATAACCGGACCAGATCGAATTACTTTGAACGGTAGACGCGTGTTTCTAATATATATGTGTGTGTACATGCAACTGTGTTTATGAGGCACACTGGCAATGTAATTAGACAAGTGCAAAGAGTATACATGGCTTACGATATAGATGTGTGTTTGCAAACACCGGAATAATATAGGGAGAGTAAACATTGCCACTATGACATGAAAAACAACTATATAATCTTCAGGTTCCAGGCGGCAGAGTGCCAACAAATTGATGAGGTGCATTAGCAGGCATCACATTACTTTGTCCTCTTTTTTTTTTACTACAGCTTTCTCCTTGGGAGAAGCTGAAACTGCATTGCTGCTATTGAAGCAAAGGACATGGAACTAATTATCAAGATAGATAACAGCATAGTTTCATGAAATAAATCAGTTATACCTTTGGAATAACTAAGGTGACATAGACAAAGCTCAAGATAATTCTATAATGAATATAACATTTTTTATAGAATTAAAGGTAAATCAGTACCTGTAAAGAGGCTCAAAACGATGCCAAACAAACATGTATATTTGTTGCTGAAAGACAATAAGCTTTCCAAATAAATCTATTTAACCTGGCTGCATGTATATTCCGACGACACAATGTGGCTAGATGAAGTAGGAGTAGCATGTATTGTAGAGCATTGATCAGTCATATTTATGTGATCTCTAGTCATACCCCTGGAGTAAAGGAAAAGAGAACTTGCATAAAGATTAAAATGTTAAATAATTACAGATTATATAAAAAGATGCAAACTCTTTAGCCGTGTGATGTACCTGCAGTTTTTTTATCGGAAGCTTTTAGCTCCAAAAGTTAACTAATTGATGGGAACAAGGGCTAAAATAGTTGACATGAAAACATGATGAGGATTGTTGTGACCGATGAACAACCTCCGGCAAACATTTAGGTAAGATCCATAAGCACTTGGTGCTCTGACATCGACAGCTACCTCACTGAAAACTATTCTGTCAAAAAAGAAGAGCAAGTAATGAAACTATAGAGAAGATCAAAGGACACAAGAACAGAAGAAACTTAGTGTCCATCAAATCAAGGAGTTCCATAGAAGAAATTCTTTTTGGAAAACCTTGTCAAAGGAATTCTCAGTATTGATCACACCCAAACTTACAATTTGTAGGCAACACTAAATAATGTTTTCTTCAGTAGACCAGCAGATCAAACCTTTTGTAAGACCTACATAGACAAAATGCATCAAATATTAGTCAATGCCATATGGTCGCAAGCACAGCTAGACATTACGTGTAACTTTCCACTGAATTTATACAATATACAGGACCTTTATTTACACTCAGTTCAATAGCTAGTAGATCTATCCTTGCAAAGCATTTTCAATACAAGACAAGTCAACAGTGCTTTCTGGTTTGTACCCTTTTTGCACCCTTTATCAAAATCTTTCAATTTAAAGAGATACTTGTAAAAGAATTTCAAGTAGAAGATTAAAACGATGATCATCTCCCAAGTCCCTATAAGGACAATGCCAATGCCTTTTGTAAAGTAATTCTAAAATATACATGATCAAACATCAGCTAGAAAGGCAGTTAGGCAGTAGCAAACCATGGTGCCGTTCAAAATGTATACTTGATGGAAAGCCTTTTAATGAAAAAATGAGCAAGGAAACATAAGCTCATTTTCCTAAATAGAAATATACCATGAGTGGAAGTTTTTTTTTCAAATAAACCAAATAGATAGATTATCCAGCAAATGCTTTTGCAAAAAGTGTTTGTTTTGTTTTTTCAGCAGAAAAAATGGATGCTTATGTGATCACTGATCAGTGATCCCCAAATTAACTGCTCTTCGTTACATGGGCAAAATAGCATATATTTAATGCTGTAAAAAAGAAACCAGTTAAATAGGATAGGGTGACTTGCTGAGTTCGAATGTAGCTTCGGAGAAGTAATTTAATAGATATCACTGAAATATTGACTGGTATTAGAGTAACAACAAAATTTTGAAGCAAGAACCTTGGTTATTACTTTGGCTGTAAAAAAATGATGAACAAACCAGACAACAAAAAATAAACCTAGTTCAATCTAGTTCCCTATAACAAATTACATGCACAATTAAGCGTTCTTTTAGCATTATCAACATACCAATTGTTTTCTTCAAATCACAAGACGGTCTACCTCCATCGGTCAAAGAAATCATGCTTACCTCAGAGTGGTTACAACGAACAAATCATAAAGTTTGCCTTGCTACAACACGAAACAGAATAATAAATGACCGGAAAGTACTATGATGGGCTAAATGGCTAAACATCATCTAAGTTTTTACAACTAAAGTTGTATACATGTCCAAGTAGAAATATCCTTATTCTTGATCTGTGTAAATTCAAGAACCATAGAAAAGGATTTATGTCCACATTTTGGTCAGTAAATACATAAGGCTAATGGCTAGTCCTAATCACAGGTTTGTCAACAGAAAATGAACATGCCTACTATATTCCCTAGGTGGAAATATGGATCTTCTTCCCCCACCAAGAAGATAGGTTTGAAATACAAAGTATACTATATGGACAAAAAAAATACTGGAGAAACAATTGTTAGAGCGAAGAATTCAATTACCTTGGCCCCAAGAGCCGCCATGCTAGTATCAGCAGCCCATGGCATGTTGTTGATCCAAACCAACACAAATGGACCATCAAGGGATCTTCACTCTGAACCTTAAAACTCAACAGAAAGACCTTGATAAGAACACAAACACTTTCCTTTTTTTTTTTTGATATTTTACAGTGCAATTCTCGAGTTGGTTGAAGGCATATCCATATGCCTTGCTGCCTAGGTCAGCAATGAAGAGAAGACTCCCATAATATTTTCTCAGTTTATTATGCGAACCAAAGCCTGAAACAGTGCAAGAGTATTCTTAGGACTGAACACATCATTTGCCAACAAATATTCAGATATCCTTGAACTTCCTGCTGAGCAATCACATTATTTGCTATAACTAATACATCTAGAATATGAGCGTTGTTGAGAAAATTGAGGACAGCTCCAGGGAAATAATAGTAAGCAATTTTTAGGAGAAGGCTAAAGGAGTAAGTTTGTATCTGGAAATTTTGCCTAAGCTTGTATATACACCATATTGTTAAATACATTTTTATCCCTGAGGCCTACACACTACATAAAGCATGTATGGCGTAAAGGTGCATGAAGACAGTTAATCCACCAATGACAGAGGTGATTGAGTTAATTACCAAGAGAATCCAGCTCCCAAAGAAATATATAAACCACAGCTTTACAGGTAACGCAAAGATTCATGAACCACAGCAAAATAGCACTTGGATTGATTAAAAGAATCAAGAATTACATGCCTTATAAATATAGGACTATCTATTCAATGATAGTTTTGTGTGTTTCTGCAGAATAATGGTATTACACTGAAATAGATGATGGTCTAAGTTTTGAAATGCAGTCAAGAACATTTTTACCAAGGAAAGGAAAGCATCCTGATTCTACTCTAATTCCCATGCTATGTTTAAAAGGGGGCATGATTATCTACCATTCCAGCAAATTTCTACTTATGACATGCTAAAGCACTTAATAATACATTCACAATTTAGAAATTAGAAATATATCTACTTCTTGTATGTCCTACCTACAAATAATGCTACTCTTGTCCGGACACGCTATCTCCATATTGTCCAAGCCAAGAATAGATAATCAATAGATTGGTTAAAAGGAGTGTCAGCCTACTGCGTTAGACCACCAAAAATAAAAAATCTATAGTGCAATCAAAAGGATCTTACACCACAGATGGAACAATGCGTATCAAGTTCGAGTTCGATTGTATCCGCTGCATTGATTTTTCACCAGCCAAAGCCAAATATTCACCTGCAAAGGGTCAATTGTGAAATACACAAGCTGCATAAAAGACTCAGGTACTACAAAGAGAAGGTGAGTGGGGATATCAAATATTTTTGGAATCCAACTAAAGGGAAAACTGGATACCAACCAACATGGCCGGTCAGATGGAACAAATAAAATGAGGAAACAACACCAAGGCACATCAGGAAACAATAGTGGGGAGAAATAATACATATCCAAACCCCACAAATCTTGCACATGTGCAGACTACTTGGTCATAGCCGACGATGCTTTGGCCAATATGGAATGCATAAAAAAACACCATAACTACAAATAATTTGCAGCTTTTCAGAACAGAGGTTTCCGTGCAAGGAACTCTATAGAAGGTGATAGCGATAATTTAACGGGTTAAAAAGGAGTGAGGTGAATTAGATTATATTTTGCGAGGATTAACCCTTATTGAGCAAAATGCCCAAAGAACACAAATAATTTAAGAAAAAGAGCAGCTTGTAATGAATGGACCGAACTACCAGTATATCATACCACTATAGATCATGCTGTCTTACCACACAGGCACTGCATCTCCAAACAGCTATTTCCTGAAATCCGAGACCAAGATTGTCACCAAATTTTGCAACCATGAAAGTATATGGCTTGGCTCCTTTGTAACTCCAATGAATTTCTAAAGCGGTGAAGCAACGGTGTTCAAATATTTTGGAGTATATGATCAGAGATAATCAGTAACTGAGATATATAGTGCATACCTGATCTTTCACAACCAGATCACCTATTGTAACACTATCCTCGTTGAAAAACCCAGCAACTGAACCATTGCCATATTGAATGGCAGCTGGTTTTCCTGGAGGGATCAAATGGCATAAAACAGGGACGTCAAACATACAATTCTCCTTGGGCTACCATAAGGGTAGCTAAATTTAGAGACATTAGTCAATCAAATCAAATGAAATCAATGACCAATATAGTATAAGAAGACATGACCATACAACCTCCCAAGGTATAAAACATTTATTTTTCATATCACAGCAAAGTGGTTATGTTCTAATGGTATTTCACAAAAAATTGAAGTGCTGAAATTGATGTAACAAACTTTCATGCGTCTTTCTAGTTACAAGACGGGATGGTACATCTGAAATTATTGCGGTGAACACAGACAGTGATAGGTGATAGGAAATTGTCAGCAATGTTCCTCAAATTCGGACTGCACAACATTTTAATGTCAAGCTAAACCATGCGGGCACTACATCAACATGTAAAATACTTTGATATGAAAAAGGAAAGGGAGTTTCACTCATTCAAAACATGCTTAGACATTTCAATCAAAGATCTAGGTATAAGAAGTTATACGTACATTTTTCAGTCCTGAATCAGTAAGGCGGATAGACATTTCAAAGATATAGGCATATGAGGAGCGTTGTGTCCCATAAGTGCAACCACCGACACTCAATGAGCTTGCCCAACCTTTCGCTTTCAGAAAACAAAGTAAGCTTCCCTTTCCCTCTGAAATAAAAACAAAACTGTCAGTTGCTAAATGGCAGAACATGAATGTTATAATTTATTCAAAATAACTTAATTATATTGCAGATTAACTGTTTAATGTAAAAAGGTTTGGTCCTAAAGAACTACTGTGCTGAAAAGCACACATAATCTAATAGAGATTAACACAGATTAGCAAATCACCACAGTTGAGTGCATAGCTGAGCTGCAAAAACATGAAATGGAACAGCTTGCAACAGTATCTATTAAATCAGGTAAACCAGCTGTTGTTGGCATACAAAATATTGCTAACCACCAATTTAATACTTCAATTTCCCTTTAAATCAATTGAAACAAATGCTCAGGTGGACATGGCTAAGAAAAACATTGATCTGTGCCTGTGCCCACATCACATCGAGAAGTTGGACATTGTGTCATTATCAAATCCGAGTTTCGCTAAAATGTCCTGGATAGTATTATAGCATGTAGCGATAGATTGAAAGTGCCATTTTATCAAAACCTTTTCATTAACCATTTTCACAAGCGTCACCTGTGGCCAACACAAATTCGATGATATGGATTGGTCACTATTCCAAGTTAAAAAAGGATATATACAAAACAAAAAAGGGCTGTACTGTGTACAGTATGCATTAGCTTGATGGAGAAGAATTATCAAGGTTATTCTAATGAAGTGATCTCAAGAAACCTGTAGCCGTTTCAGAATTCAGACAAGTAAAATACGTTTCATGTTATTCTGACATGACATTCACAAATGACAATGCATCATTTTGAATTTCTTGTTAATATCCATTATTGTCTCGAATCTCAATTATTTGCAATGCAATACTGGTATTTATATCAGTTTAGCCTTTTTTTGTATTTTGACTTCCATGTAGTTGTATGGTGCAATGTCTTTCATAATCAAACTTTTTTCTAGCAAGGTTGAATATACTAACAAAGATTATGGTTCACACAAAAAATAATCAAGCAGTACAAAATAAAATAAAATTAATGTCCATTTAAAAGACGATGGAAGAAGGTACTCAAGCTGCAAACTTAAGATAAGATATCTGCATACAGAGCTGAACCATACCACGCTTTGAGGTAAACCATTTTGAGGCAATGGCAAATTTTTAGGGGGAGGTTTACTATCATAGGATCTTTTGTCAAATCTCGATTCTGCAACTTTGCCATGAGTGAGTTTACCCTAGTGCACAAAATATATGGTTAAAACAGGAAACTAACAGATACAGTTACTGAAACTTCACATCAAAAGGAGAATGATTACCTTCATATCATAGTCACACCTATAAGTATAATGTATGATAAATGCATCACCAATTTCCAAGTCCCATGGTGGCTAAAACAACAGGACAATATTATCAGCTCAGGAGTCAGCGCCATTGTGAAAAAGCCACCACAAGCTACAGCAGCAACTGGAACAGGCAGAGCATTCACCTTGGAAGGAACACTCAGAGAACCAGCTGCACCAGGACCACCTCTACTTCCAAGCCCCAACCTACGATCGCCTTCATCACAACCCCAATTGTAGAGCTCACCTGTTCGCAAAGTCCAAAATATAACTGATGAGGGGGTCCGACAATCGCAAAATGCAAGTACTCCACAACATTCAATTGTGCAGATGATCCATAATGTCTTCACCAATCAGCATTAAGCATGAACCAGACCAACCTGAGTCAGTGATTGCCGCAGTATGTGCTCCACGGGTAGCAATGTGTGATATCTTCCCTTCCCAAGGACCATTCACTTTCCTTGGCAACAATTCCCTATGGTAAACATAATGTCCCAAAGCTCCAAATCCACCATAGCCCCTGCAGACTACAGTAAACTGAATGATGCAGCAGCCAAATTCATAAATTTGCAATGCATTCTTCTTGCAGTTCATCCAGCGAGCACTCACTCAGGCATTTCAAATGAGCAATGTGGTGGTGGTTTCCTCACCAGGTGAAGACTTCCCCGGAGGCGGTCAGGGCGGCGGAGTGGGTGCCGCCGAGCGCGAGGACGCGGAGCTCGCTGAGGTTGGGGTTGTGGCGCGGGACGAAGGCAGAGGACTCGTCCCCGAGGCCGAGGCGGCCCCCGTCACCCTTGGCCCACACCCAGGCGCCGCCGTCGACGACGACCGCGGAGTGGAACAGCTCGCAGGAGATCCCCACCTCCACGCCCCCCGCCGTCCCCGCGGCGGCGTCCGGGAGGGCGGGGACGTGGGCGGCGGCGGCTAGGGTTTGACGGCGGCGGGGATGGATGCGGCAGCGGCTGCGGCGGCGGCGACGGCGGAGGGAGTGGGAGGCGGCGCGAGAGAGAGAGAGGGAGAGGGAGAAGGAGCGGACGGCGGCTAGGGTTTGAAGGCGGTGGGGATGGAGGCGGCGGCGGCGGCGGAGAGAGACGCAGAGGGAGTGGGCGGCGGCGCGGGAGAGAGAGGGAGCGGGCGGCGGCTAGGGTTTGGCGTGCCGCAAGGGGAAGGCGCTCGGCAACGGCGGAGGCGGCGGCGGTGCGAGACGGAGGGGGAGGCGGAGGCAGCGGCGGCGCGAGACGGAGGAGCTCGGAGATGGCGACGCGACGGCGGCGGAGGTGGACGCGGGCATGGCGGCACGAGGGGGTGGAGGCGGCGGCGCGAGGGGGTGGAGGCGGGAGAGGGGGAGGGAGAGATGAGAGGGAGAAGTGGGGGGGTGGCGGCTAGGGTTTGGGGTTGTTTGGGTTAGTGCGCGTTGTTTTGCAAAAAAGACCCTTGTCGTTCAAGTTTTACAGAGCCGTCCTTATTCGCGATTTTTCCCTTGTTCTAACGTAATAACTGACTTTTATAAGGGTTTATACGTAAAATAACAGCTCATAAGTACTGTTCCGGAGGGATCTACTTCGAATTACGAACAAAGCAGAGAGCTTTTTCGCAAAATCGCCACCCAGCGCACTGTTCCTATCCGACGTGGCGTCGCTCAGCGGCCGCCCCTTCCGCCACACTTAATATAGTTTCTAATTCCTGCCCATTGCCACTATTTGTAGTCGGGTGCAATTTGAGAGAGATTTGAGAAATGCCCAATCTTTAGATTCTAGATAGTTATTTCCTAGAACTAGTATATATAAGTTAGATAAGGATCCTAGAGATGGTACTGTCCCAACCAGTTTGTTGTTGTTAAGAGAAATCCATCGTAGCTTTGACGCATTAGCAAGCGAAGCTGGTATGAATCCCTCAATTTTGTTATTTGACATGGAAAATCTCTCAAGGTCTAGTAATGAATAACCAATGCTAGATGGTATGCGTCCACTAAGGTTATTGTGGTCTAGGTTAATGGAAAAAAGAGATGAGATATTATAAAGCATGGCTGTTGGAATTAATAGATAGGCTAAGGCCCATTCGAAGATTAATTCTTTGGAAAATCACAAAAGCCCACCTCATGGGATGGCATGCATATGGAGTTTAGTACCACCTTGCTTATTCTAGGAGAGAGTGACCTCCTTAAAAGGGAGGATGCCCTCTTAGCCACTTGAAGCATGTGTGGTGGAGAGAAGAGGGGGAACACACGCGTGCGCTCGCCTCGCCTCGCCGGGCAGGCGGCGCGTGCACGACGTACGCGTTGAATGGTCCGCAAAATTGGCTCCTCACACTTGCGCAAATGCAGCCTCCTTCCGAAAAATCCGGTGCCTATCTCTATATAAACCGAGCCGCCGCCTTCACGTAACACACGTCGCTCGTAGACTACTCCATCCCGCTCGCCGGCGTGCACCGGCGATGGGGAGAGCAGGTCTCCGGAACCTCTGCCTTCGACGTCCTGCACCGGGAGAAGGTGGGCGGCAATAAGGTTTTTGGGAAGCGCTTCGCGCGACTGCTCCCTGTTCGTCCGCGACGGCTCGCCTTCGTCGACGCTCGCAACCGCGGGTAGTTCCTGCCGAGCAACCGGTCTTTTCGCCACCTCTGTACGTGTTTGACATGTTGCGCATATTTGATCTGTTCATGTTTTACTGCTTAGTTTACATGTGTAGATCTAATGATGCGTTCAATCTAGTTTACATCTGCAATGTCATGATTTATTTATGGAATAAATTAAATCATTATGTGCTTATAATTTCAACAATCCAAAAACCTTATTATAGGCGCTGTGATTTTTACTATGGCTGGTTTTACCGATGCACTGAGGCTGGATAAATTCACCGGTGTGCACTTCAAGAGATGGCAGATCAGGGTCACTCTGTGGTTGATAGCTATGAAATGTTTCTGGGTGAGTACTGGCAAGCCTATGGGCGTTCTTAATGCTGATCAGCAGAAAGAATTCTATGAGGCCACTACTCTCTTTGTGGGATGCATTCTTAGCATTCTTGGCGATCGTCTGGTCGAGGTGTATATGCATATGACCGACGCTAAGGAGTTGTGGGATGCATTGAATACTAAATTCGGTGCTACTGATGCTAGCAATGATCTGTATATCATGGAGCAGTTTCATGACTACAAGATGGCTAACAACCATTCTGTAGTCGAACAGGCTCATGAGATACAAACCATGGCTAAGGAACTCGAACTCCTTAAGTGTGTCTTACCCGACAAATTTGTGCCCGGGTGCATTATTGCGAAACTACCTCCATCTTGGAGAGGTTTCGGTACTGCACTCAAACACAAGAGACGGGAATACTCCATTGAGGGGTTGATAGTGTCTCTTGATGTTGAGGAGAAAGCTTGGGAAAAATATGCCGCGTCTAAGGGCGATGGTGGGTAGTCCAGTGCCAATGTTGTGCACAAGGCCCAAAACAAGAGTGAGGGGAAATACAAAGCTCAACAGACAACCAACTTCAAGAAGCAGAAGAAGAACAACAACAATCCTAACCAGGATGAGAGGACTTGCTTTGTGTGTGGGCAACCTGGTCATCTGGCTAGGAAGTGTCCACAGCGCAAGGGGATGAAGGCACCTGCAGGGCAGACTTCTAAGTCTGCTAATGTGACCATTGGCAACACTGGAGATGGAAGCGGGTATGGTAATTTACCTACTGTTTTTTCAGTTAATCAGTCTACTAATTGGTGGGTTGATACTGGGGCCAATGTACATGTTTGTGCTGACATCTCATTGTTTTCTTCTTATCAGGTCGCACGGGGTTCCACCATCCTAATGGGGAATGGGTCACATGCTTCTGTTCATGGTGTTGGCACGGTAGATCTGAAGTTTACTTCAGGAAAGATCGTGCAGCTGAAGAACGTGCAGCATGTCCTTTCTATCGACAGGAATCTTGTTAGTGGCTCCCGTCTGACTAGAGACAGATTTAAGTTGGTTTTTGAGTCTAATAAAGTAGTCGTGTCTAAACATGGATATTTTATTGGTAAAGGTTATGAGTGCGGAGGCCTGTTCCGCTTTTTCCTTTCTGATTTCTGCAATAAGTCTGTGAACCATATTTGTGGCAGTGTGGATGATGAGGCTAATGTTTGGCACTCACGTTTATGTCATATTAATTTTGGCTTGATGTCTCGGCTTTCCAGCATGTGTTTAATTCCTATGTTTTCCATTGTCAAAGGTTCTAAGTGCCATAGTTGTGTGCAATCGAAGCAACCTCGCAAGCCTCACAAGGCTGCCGAGGAGAGAAACTTGGCACCACTAGAACTCCTACATTCAGATCTTTATAAAATGAATGGGGTGTTGACGAAGGGTGGAAAACGATATTTCATGACGTTGATTGATGATGCTACTAGATTTTGCTATGTGTACTTGTTGAAAACGAAAGACGAGGCTCTAGACTATTTTAAAATTTATAAGGCAGAAGTTGAAAATTAACTTGACAGAAAGATAAAAAGGCTTAGGTCTGATCGTGGCGGAGAGTTTTCTCCCGAGTCTAATGGGATTGCTGAAATGAAGAACCGTACACTGACTGACTTGGTGAATGCCATGTTGGACACCGCGGGACTACCTAAGGTATGGTGGGGGGGAGGCATTGTTGACCTCGAATCATGTGTTAAACAGAGTTCCTAACAGAAATAAGGACAAAACACCATATGAGATATGGATTGGGAGAAAACCATCACTTTCTTATTTGCGCACATGGGGGTGCTTGGCAAAAGTCAATGTACCAATAACGAAGAAGCGCAAACTTGGACCTAAGACTGTGGACTGTGTCTTTCTGGGATATGCTCATCACAGCATTGCCTATAGATTTTTAATAGTTAAATCCGAGGTACCTGACATGCATGTTGGTACAATTATGGAGTCTCGTGATGCTACCTTCTTTGAGAGCTTTTTCCCAATGAAGGATACACATAGTGGTTCGAGCCAACCCTCTGAAATAATTCCCAGTTCAATCACACCACCAGAACAAACTGAACATACACATGAACATGTCTCTGAGGAGGATGTCAGTGAAGCTCCTCGAAGGAGTAAAAGACAAAGGACGGCTAAGTCTTTTGGTGATGATTTCACTGTGTACCTCGTGGATGACACTCCTAAGTCAATTTCAGAAGCATACGCATCTCCTGATGCAGACTACTGGAAGGAGGATGTTCGTAGTGAAATGGATTCCATTATCACTAACGGGACTTGGGAGGTGACAGAGCGACCCTATGGGTGTAAACCTGTGGGGTGCAAGTGGGTGTTCAAGAAGAAGCTCAGGCCTGACGGTACTATTGAAAAGTGCAAGGCTCGGCTTGTTGCTAAGGGCTATACTCAGAAAGAAGGCGAAGATTTCTTTGACACTTACTCACCTGTTGCTAGATTGACCACAATTCGTGTGCTACTTTCCCTAGCAGCCTCACATGGTCTTCTCGTTCATCAAATGGACGTTAAGACAGCTTTTCTTAATGGAGAGCTGGATGAGGAGATCTATATGGATCAACCTAATGGGTTTGTAGTTGAAGGTCAAGAAGGTAAAGTGTGCAAATTGTTGAAGTCTTTGTATGGTCTGAAACAAGCTCCTAAGCAATGGCATGAGAAATTTGACAAAACATTGACATCTGATATTTAGGACAAACCTTGAGGTGATAAATGAGGTTAAATCATTCTTGTCTCAAAATTTTGATATGAAGGATTTGGGAATAGCTGATGTTATCTTAAACATTAAGCTAATTAGAGGTGAGAATGAGATTACACTATTGCAGTCCCATTATGTGGAGAAGATCTTGAATCGCTTTGGCTACATTGATAGTAAGCCTTCTCCAACACCTTATGATCCTAGCTTGTTGCTTCGCAAGAATAAAAGAATTGCTAGGAATCAACTGGAATACTCCCAAATCATTGGCTCGCTGATGTACCTGGCTAGTGCAACTAGGCCTGATATCTCCTTTGCTGTGAGCAAGTTGAGCCGGTTTACCTCTAATCCGGGAGATGAT